ATATTTGCTCATCCTTTAGGTCATTAAGGCCTCTAGTACACCACTGTGTTGGTGTACTCCTCTCTCCCTCCCTCCCCCCCCCCCAGTAAAAAAACAACCCATCACACCAACAGTCTGTCATAGTGGCCTTGAATACTGGAATTCCTCTTCCTCCCCCCCCCCCCCCACGTACTCCAACATATGAATTAAGTAGTAGTAGCTTGGATATTACAGTTCATAGGGTGAGCCCTTCTCCAGTCCTTTTATGCTAGGTGTGGCAATTAAGTCATTCTCCCTGGCCCAGTACTGGGCTTTAAGGATTTCCCTCAGTGCAGAAACTATGGAGGCAAGCTGTAAGACTGACTGAGGACCCCTCAGAAGTCTTGCAGAAACGGTTATGCTGGGCGTGGGGCTAGCAGCAAGAAGGGTATGCTGCAGATGGTCTGAGTAGTATTTCTGCCTATAGGGCATCCTTGAGAGGCTGCTATATAAGTTTGTGTCTATGCTTATAGCTGTGTGTAAAGTACAGACACTGCATGTCTAGCTAGTACAGGTATATATCGCATGTAGAAGGTGAAGCACTGTTTAGGCAAGTAGAGTACAAGCACTCCTGAACCTTGTGGGTACATACTGGGTAAATACCATGGGTATATAATCACCGAAGCAGTATCTCCTCACCTACACTGCAGTATCCTGCTATTTTTAGCAGTGTAGTATCCTGCTACAGGAGTTTTTCCCTGCCACAGGGAAAGGCTTCTGTAGCTCCCTGCAGTGGGGAAAGGCTCTGGCAGCTCCCTGCTGCCCAGCCTTTCCCTGCTGCCTCTCCCCTGCCAGAGCCTTTCACTGACTTGTGTAGCTACACACAACAGTGTGGATTCAGCCTGCTTTTCAAACAATATATGCCATCGCAAGAGGTGTGCACTATAGATGTAACCTTAGGACATATACCCTGTATGGCTCTCTACACACCAGAGCAGTACCTCCTGTCTATGCTGCTATTTTTAGCAGTGTTACTGTCCTGCTGGAGCCCTTCACTGCCATGTGTAGCTACACAACACAGTGGGGATGCAGCCTGCCTTTCACTGAAACATGTAGCTACACATAATTATGTGTTGCTGCAAGTAGAGACAAGACTTTAAGCGGTCCTGAGAGTCTCTGCAGCTCCAGATCAAGAGGGCCCAATGGTGCCTTGAACCTGAATCTGGATCTCCCACATCCTGGATAAGTGCCCTAACAACTAGGCTAAACGCTAGATGGAGGGTGGCAAAATCTCCTCTCACTAATAGTTTCAGGTCAATCAAAACCTTTCTGTAAACTGTTCATCTGGAAAAAAAAATTGCCCAGTGCTAAGGTCTGAATTAAGTTCTTTGCTGTCATGATCACTAAACTCTCTTTCAAAAGAGCTGAGCTATTGAATGGCAAGATTGAATTTGAACTTGCACGTGATCCAGTGATAAGATTACACAGTAGTTTTTCAAGAAAATAATACTTATTTGGTTTGTCTAATTGTCTGTCTCTCTCTCTCTCTCTTTCTTTTTTTTAATAGGTATTGTGGTGAATGGCCTAGTAAATGTTAGTATTTCCACTATTGAAAAACGTTTTGAGCTGAACAGTTCCCTCACTGGTGTCATCTCTGCAAGCTATGACATTGCTTTTTGTGTATTGTCGCTGTTTGTAGCTTTCTTTGGAGAAAGAGGGCACAAACCAAGATGGCTCGCCTTTTCATCATTTATGATAGGATTGGGATCACTTGTGTTTGCCTTGCCACACTTTGCTGCTGGAATATACCAATATGGATCTAAACTTGAAGGTAAGCTCATTTTTGTATTTTTGGAATTTTTCTAACAATGAATAGGATAACTGAATATGCACAGAGTTGTGTTGAATAGATCCCTATATATTTGGATAGGAAAGTGTATATCTAGATTAGGGTATCAAGTGCAGAGGAACATGTGGGATATGTTCCCTTTTTTGTTTTGTATCCACATAGTATTGCTTACTGAGGCTTTGGGTGTGCTTACAGTTGTACCCATCTCATAGTTTTTTGTGTGGCTTATTAAGGTCTCTGGGCAGACTGGGCTCCCTACTGATGTAGAGCAATGCCTTCTTTATGTGCTGCAAAGTACCAGGCACTATTAAATTACTGGTGGTGTCTTCTCCATTAAGGTTAAATCTTGATGTTAAACTTCACTAACTGCTACCTTATCTCAATTTTCTGTCTTTAGTAGGGTTGTTGATTAATTGCAGTTAACTCGTGCGATTAACTAAAAAAATTAATCACTATTAAGTAATTGCAATTAATTGCACTGTTAAACAATAGAATACCAACTGAAACTTCTAAATATTTTTGGATGTTCTTCTAAATTTTCAAAGGTATTGATTTCAGTTACAACACAGAATACAAAGCGTACATTGCTCGCTTTTATATTTTTGATGAGATAGTATTTTTCAGTTCACCTCAGACAAGTACTATAGTGCAATCTCTTTATTGTGAAAATGCAACTTACAAATATAGATTTAGTTTTTTGTTACATAACTGCACTCCAAAACAAAACAATGCAAAACTTGAGCCTACAAGTCCACTCAGTCCTACTTCTTGTTCAGCCAATCACAAAGAGAAACAAGTTTGTTTACATTTATGTGAGATAATGCTGCCTGCTTCTTATTTACAACGTCACCAGACAGTGAGAACAGGCGTTCGCATGGCACTTTTGGAGCTGGCATTGCAAGGTATTTGTGCCAGATATGCAACACTTATTCAGCCTGTTTGGGAGTACTTAAATTGCAATCTCTCTGGGGCAGGACTATCTCTGTTCTGTGTCTTTACAGCACCTAGCACAACAGGGTCCTGGACCGTGGCCAGGTGCTGTGTTAATAGAACCAAAGTCTAGGAAAATTTGGCTTCTAACAAAGTATTGGAAATGGACTTCTGATGTGGGTTGACCGTACAATGTTGAGGAGGGAAAAAGGCAAAGTGTTTTGTGCATGTGTGGATTTGTAATTGGATCTACCTCTGACACTACTGCACTGGAGATGGTATTGATCTTTTCTGTGTGTGATTTTATCCCTTCAGAAACTCTGCTCTTTGCTTCTAGCAGGTAATGCTGGGGAAACTTCTTTCAAAGTGTCCATCAGTGTTGAAGTTCCTGTTCTGTGTATATGTGATACACTTCTGTCACCTCATTAAATCAAGATTCTACACTTGATGCTTTCTCAGTGCTTGCTGGATATACACATGACACTTTGTCAGAATACCTAGCACTGTGAAGTGTCAGGAAAACCTTCATGTCATGTTTCTAGGCTGACATGCATTGTGGCTCTGCCATTTTTTTTTTAATAAAGTGAACATATCCAACAAAGTGATTAAATCTTTCCAACCACCACATCCTATCATGTATTCTCCATCATAAAACTGATTTGGCTGAATTCCAACTTCCTTCAATTCTTACTTCTTTGTAGTGGGGTCTAGTGGGCTTGCTGGACTATACTGGTGCTTCCTTTAAAATATGCTGTAGGCCTAGTTTTTTCACTGAAAAAAATTTCTATACTAAGTTACCATTTATAATTCCATGCTGTTGTCTAGCATGTCATATCTTGCAAGGTGAAATGGCTGCAGATGCTGTGCACAGGCTATGAAGAATTTCTTAATTCAGGATAAGCAAATGTTTTGCAAATTCTGTATTTCTATTTCATGGTGCATGTGTCCTTAAAAACTCTACACCCCCCGTTAGTAACAAAGGGCTGAAGTCCCCCATTATTTGCCTAGTACTCTGGAAACACGGCTTAAGCACATCTAAGCCGATACTTATCAGGCAAAAATGTTCTGTGTAGTAACAAATGATGCTTCTTGCCTTCAGGGCTGAGCATGCTTCCTCCACAGTGTCCCCCTCATCTATTGGCTTTGAGAGAGATGTTTGAAGGGACATGTGCTGGCATGGCTTTACTCTAAATGATTTGACTCAGGAAAGCGAAGTACTAAGGTAAACATAAGTGAGATTAACATCAAAGTGTGGTTATGCAAAGTTGTTGAAAAACTTTCACTGATGGTGGCATTCATCATGATTCATAGGTAAGACTAGAGGCTATTGCACATTAGGAAGAAATCTAAGACTGCAATCACACTAGCATGAAATTGTAGACCTATTTTTAAACAACTGTATTTAGAAGATCTTGTTGCCAAAAATATAAGCACAGCACCTCTCCTCTCTGACTTGACTGTTTTTTTTTTTTCCCCCATGCTACATTTCTAGTAACCGCCTCCATCTTTGGTGTGCCCTACTCAAAGCTAGAGAACCTAGAATATGAGGACCCTGAAGCCAAAAGTCAACTACCTCTGTGGGTAGATCAGCCCCAGAAATAGTTGTTCATCATTAGTCTGTGCACACTTACTGCTGACTTATACCGTCTCCTATTGATATTTTGGAAGGGAGAAAGATAGTAGAAAAGTGGTATTTATTTTTTCTTGAAAAATCTTTTGTTTTCCATCTTTCTAAGACTTTTTTCCTATGCATGCCTTCACTTGTGTGCACCAGAACTGTTGACGTCCTGATGGCCTTTTTGTTTCAAGGAAAAAATTCAATGTTTGTTTCTAATAATTCAGTTGTTATATATTTGTTTTATTAATCATTTGGAATTTTTACTGTAGAGTACTGACATTAATTTGTATATCTATACTACTGCTAATTATTCATACCAGGTTGAGTGAACATTGTTAATGAATTACTTAATACCCTTTAGAAGTTTCATTAAGTTCCTCTGAAATGTTGATTAGAAATGTGGTTTGTACAAAGAGGAAACATAACTTCTTCTTTCTTAGAGTACGCGGTGCTAAGAACTCTCAAAGTGAGTATTTAGCTCTGTCAGCATTTAACTTGGTGCTCTTCAGTATGAAGCACAAGGCTAACCACTTGGGGGTGGAGAGGGGCAAGTAGGGGCATAGAGCTTCTCTGGCCCTGGGGTCACAGGCAGGGAAGGGAAACCTCCTGCTGGGGCAGGGGAGGGGAGGGGGCAGTAAGCTTCTTCCCAGGTTAGGGGGGGGGGGGCAGCGAGCTTCTTGGGGGAGGAGCCACATTTAAATTCCTGCATATGCCCTTTCTAACCACTATACTTACAGTGAATACTTACAATATGCAGTGTGATGTGTAGTTAGTTGTAAGGCCATGAATACAACTGTCTGTCAAACTGTTTGATCTTTGAGGGCCATCTTAGCTTTTATTACAGTATTTCATAAACCATACATATGTCAGGTGTGATGGGTTGGGTCACAGAGACCCCCTTGGGACTCTCATGTGGTGTGCTGAGACTACCTCTGAGCCTGTTTTCTCTGCCAGTTTGGGCCCCCAGAACCCTGCATTGTTGAGCCAGACACGCATGCCTGCTGCAACACAGACCCAGGGTCTGAAACCCCCCACCCCGCAAAGCTGCAGACTTAACTGAAAACAGCTTAGCAAGTGCTCCTGTATCCAGCACCCAGACACCTAGCTCCCAATCGGATCCAAACCCCAAATAAATCCATTTTAATCTATATAAAGCTTATACAGGGTAAACTCATAAATTGTCTGCCCTCTGTAACACTGATCGAGAAATATGCACAGCTGTTTGCTCCCCCAGATATTAATCACTTACTCTGGGTTCACTAATAAGTGATTTTATTAAGAATAAAAAGTAGGATTTAAGTGGTTCTAAGTAATAATAGACAGAATAAAGTAAGTCACCAAGTGAAAGAAAGCAAAACCACACACGTCTAAGCCGTCTTAATTACATTAAGAAATTGAATACAGGTAAATCTCACCTTCAGAGATTTTTCACAGCCTAGACTCCTCCTTAGTCTGGGCCCAATCCTTTCCTCTGGTACAGTTCTTGTTAGTTCCAGCTGAGGTGGCAACTAGGGGATTTCTCATGACTGCAGTCCCCATTGTTCTGTTCCACCCCCCCTTTAATAGCTTTGGCACAAGGCGGGAATCCTCTGTCTCTCTCTGGGTTCCCACCCCTCCTTCTAAATGGAAAAGCACCAGGTTAAAGATGGATTCCAGTTCAGGTGACATGGTCACATGTTCTGTGAGACTTCATTACCCACTTGCTGGCGTACATATGTATACAGGAAGTCTTACAAGTAAACAGCCATTTACAGCCAGTTGTCTTGGTTAATGGGAGCCATCAAGATTCCAAACCACCATTAACGGCCCACAATTTGCATAATTACAATGGGACCTCGGTTATATTTCATATTCCTAGTTTCAGATACAAGAATGATACATTCATGCAAAGAGGATTACCACACTCAGTAGATTATAAGCTTTGTAATGGTACCTTACAAAAGACCTTTTGCATAAAGCATATTCCAGTTACATCATCTCCACGCTTATAAACATATTTTTATAAAAATAGGGAGTGCAATGTCACATCAAGTATGGATAAATAGGTTGTTGCCTTAAAGTGAGCATATTAAATGACTTCTCTAAAACCTAAATTATTAGCTAAAAGCAATTTGAAACATTCCTAATCCCCCTGGACTCAGTAGGAGCGTCTCACAATATAATGGCTTGCATTACAATATTGATCACGTAACATTTTTCAAAGCATGGTAGAGACACTGACTAATCCTTAAATATCTTTGCTAAGATGTTATCCCCACTTACCATGTGGGGAATCTGAGACAAATTAAGTGAATTGCCAAGGCCAAAGAGCAAGGCAGTGCCAAAGTTTGGACTAGACTATTAATTGCCCCCTGAGCTCACTAGATCATGCTGCTTTTAGAAATATAAGGGAGTGAAGAGGGAGGTCAAGGCAGGAGGATAAAGCATCTGAAAA